AATTGATTATGAGGGTAGGGAGTTAGAAGGAAGAAATTTTAATGAGGGACTGACAAAGAAATCAAATTTAGCTTTAGGGATTTTTGAGGAACTCTCCCCCAAATTTTCGGCAAGTTATTTTTACTGCAATATTGTTTATACACAACTGTCCTAGCAAGGAAATTAACAATTTATGTATTTCCTAATACATATTACTCCCTTTCTTAACCATACTAGTACGGCACCCGCGCGTTGAGCGGCTTGACATTAAAAATGACGTAGATGAAAATATTATTTATTATATTTTGAATTATTGTCTTAAGTATAATATTAGTAGTGGATAAATTATATTCATTATCATCATAAATAACAATCATCAAACAACAGAGATTCATGACTCTAGAAACAACAACATTTAATTGATTGTGACTACATAATACAATATATATTTATATATATAGAGAAGGGATCATATAAAAAAGGTAGATAGTGAAAGAAATAAGAATGGATTTGGACCATTAGATATATCATAGCAATGGTCATGATGAAGTCAAATTTTATTAATTGTATTCAAACATGTAATGGCATTCTTGTAAATAAATATACAAATCATGGTCAAATATTTACATTTTACCACTCAATAAGGATAAAACGGTCAATATACAAATAATACAACTCATCTACCAATGCAGTGGGTCCCACCCAATCCAACCAAGTCAGATCCTCTCTCACGTACATCCCTCACAAACAACCTCACATAAACACACATTCTCACGCAGCTTATATACGCGGTCACCGCCCCGACACCCGCCGCCGACTGCCTCCGGCGACGCCGCAATCTCCTCCTTCTTCATCGCTGTCATCACTCTCTCGCGCCATATATGTATATCTATCTCTCTCGATTGATCACAGTCGTTTCAGATTATTTTTTCAGAAATGGCCGTCGTCGGCCTCTCTTCTCCGACGAACTCAAAACAGGCTCCGGCCGACGTTTATGCTCTGATACGGGTTCTCCATTTGTCGTCGAATTTGTGTCATCTCCTCAGCGACGACATCGGCTTACGAAACCCAAAATCGCAGATTCACCCAATTGCTAATTCCGGTCAAACTGACGACGGGTAAGGTTTCAGGCCTCTTCGCCGGCCGTCGGGATCAATTTGGTGTTGTAACCGAAGGTTTCGGGCCTGAATACTGCCGGAAGAATGGGCTGAACGTCAAGGATGAATTTGATGGGATGAGAGACTTACTTTTGAGAATTAGATATCTACCAGGGACTTATGTGCAAATTACGAAAATATAACTATTTTGAATTTAGTTCTTAAGTCAATTTTGTAATTTTCTAAGGTTTTGATTACGGGACTACTTTACAGTTTACACAGTTTTAGAGGTTCAAGTATGGCGTGTACCAATCCCATAACTATGACATTGGCCTTATTCACTGGCTGTTGCCATTTGATTATTAAAAACTTAATAAAGCCACAATATGATAGGTAATTTTTTAAAAATAAATCCGATATTGAACTAAAATAACTAAATGTTTAACAGTAAAAATAAACAATTGAATTAACATATAAAGTTCGAACATAAAATTTTAGATTTATCAGTTTCGATCAGTTTCGATCGCTAATGTATAGTCTAATAAATATTAATGTGCAACACGTCCAATACTATTGTGCACGGTTTTGGTCGCTATTGTGCAATTGGAATCAAATTTTGTTCCAAGTCAAATTGAAACACAACCGCATTGCTTGGTTTATTCGGTCACTTAACCGAATTACTCTATATATACAAAATAATTTACTTTTTATATTAAAACATGATTAGTATTTAATGTTGTTCTTTAATTCATATTTTATATTATTTTTTAACTAAAAAAATTGTATATGCGATATATTGTACAATCTAACAGTTATTAAGGTGCAATTCTTTCAACATTACGGTAAATTGTACATTAATGTTATGTAAATTGCTCGTTAACATTTTATTTATTTTAATTGAAAAAATAATAGTTTTATAAAAAAATATAAAAAATAGTATTTGTTTATATGGTTTGGTCGGTTCGGTTATTTTGGATATTTAAAAAATAAAAAACAAAAAATGACATCGAACCGAAATAACTAAAATTTTAAAAGTAAACGCATATAATCGATCCGACATAAAATTCGAATACAAAAAAGCAAGTCAGTCAGATTCGGTCGATATAGTGCAATCTGACATTTACTAATGTGCAATCCGTCTAACGTTAAAGTGCAATCTTGAAGACATTAACGTGCAACCAGTCTAAAATTAATGCGTATTCGAAATGCAATTATTTTTATAAAAAAATATATTTCATATTAGTAATTTTATAGTTAATTGTTTATATTGTTGTTTGATGAAATTAAATAATAATATATATAGATAAAATATAAAAATTAATATTTTTGTATATAGCTCGATCGATTATTTTAAACATGTTGTTTTATAAGGTGCAACGTGATATTTTTTAAAGTGCAATATTATGTTATATAAAGTGCTATAATATATAGTTCGATCGGTTATTTAAAACATGTTATTTTATAAGGTGCAACGTGTCGTTTTATAAAGTGCAGTATTATGCTATATAAAGTGCGATAATATATAGTTCGATCGGTTATTTAAAGCATGTTGTATTATAAAGTGAAACGTGATGTTTTAGTATTTTTTTTTACACAAAAAATATATTTAGTATTTTTTTTCCAAGTGCAACGTGATTTTCGGTTTTTTATTTTTTCCAAGTGCAATTATTTTTTAGACATTAATATATTTAGTATTTATAATATTTTAGTTAATACTTTATATTGTTGTTTTATGAAAATAAATATATAAATATAGACAAAATATTATTATTATTATTATTATTATTATTATTATTATTATTATTATTATTATTATTATTATTGTTGTTGTTGTTATTATTATTTTTTGCATGGTTTGATGGTTATGGTGTTTTTTTTTTTTTACATTTCTAAGTAATGCCGAACTAATATTGAAATATCCTAAATTTTAATTTTTTTTTAAATTCATATTATTTTTATTGAAAAAAATGTTATCTGTTATATAATCTAGTAGGTTCGATTATTTCGGCTATTTTCTAAAAAATAAAGCTACATCGAATTGAAATAACTGGAATTTTAAATGTAAACACATATAATTGATCCGACATAAAATTCAATCACAAAAATATAGTTCATTCTGTCGGTTACTAACGTGCAATCCGTGTAACACTATAGGGCAATCTGATAGTCATTAATGTGCAATCATTATAACAATAGTGCACATTCCACGTGCAATTATTATTTTACACAAAAATATATTTAGTATTTTTAATATTTTAGTTAATAGTTTATAAATTTTTTTTATGAAAATAAATAATGTATATATAATATTTTTTTGTATGGTTTGTTGGTTTTTTTTTTAATTTTGTAAATAAAGCCTAATTCATATTAAAATATCCTAAATTTTAACAAATATATATATATATATATATATATATATATATATTTTAAATTCCCGTTGTTGTGACTGTCATTAATGTGCGACTCGGCTAGTCCTATTGTGCACGGTTTTAATCGATATTGTGCAATCTAAATCGTTGAAACTTTTGTCTCACACTAAATTAATATTGAATCGAATTTATTCGTTTATTTAGTTGGTTAACTAAATTAACAAAAACAATTGAAATTGAATATTATTTATATTATAAAAATATATATATATTTTTTTTTAAAATATATGAAACATGTATTTTACCTTAGCTTTTATTGTAAATACATAATTTAGAAAATACCAAACTTAATGATGTACATTATCATAGTCAATAATGTGCATCTGGTCAAGTATTATTGTGCAATCGATTAAACTGGAATTTTTCATGTGCATCCTAAGTTTAGAATATATTATAATATGTCTTTTTATTATTAGTATTATAAAAGAAAATTTTAGTATTTTATTATTATTATTACAAAAGTAAATTTTAACATTTTATTATTTTATATATTTTTTAGTAAAAGCAATATATTATCATATATATAATATAAATATAAAAAGTATAAAAAATAATATTTTTTTTTTATATAATTTTTATAAATTACAGATTTAGCCCAATGGGCTAAATTGAAATACAACAAAAA